ATTATTTTTATTTTTATTACTATTATTTTTATTATTAATATTATTATTATTAATAATATATTATTTTATTACAGATACAACCCAAGGCCCAACTCTGGCCCGATTACAGCCAGGCCCAATCAGAAATAGCCCAAGCAGAACCCTAAACCCAACTAGGGTTTGTGTTATCACTCCTAGCCGTCATTGATCACCACCGTTGGATCTGTCCTTGATCCAACGGTCCCCAGATGCTCCATCAAGAAACCCTAGGGTTATCATAACCCTAGGGACCACGCGGCGCCGCCCTTGAAGCCAACCAAACCCACCGACTGTCTTCTGCCAGGTGCCTCGTCCAGACGCCGTCTCCACTGCCAGATGGTCCAACCAGTTGCTACCGACGCTGCTGTTTCCACGACGCCGGCCTCGTCGAGCTTTCCAGAAGCCAGCTGCCTCACCAAATCAGTGCTCTATAGTGAGTCACCGCCATAGCTTGGTGACTCACCAAGGATGCTACCCATAGGACCGGTCCGATGAGAGCCTCATCGAGGCTATAAAGCCTTGGCTCACCTGCAACAAAAGAAAAAAAAAGAGGATGACAGAGAGGAAGAGAGGAGACAGAAAACAGAAAGGAGGAGACAAGCAAGACACACAGATAGAAAGCAACGAAAAATAACCGAGAGAAGAGTGAAGAGACTTACCAAGCGGCGTTGGAAACCAAACGTCGTCAAACCGCCATTTAATCGAAGGTAAAAACCCTCGGTTTATTTTAGATCTATGGTTATCAGAGGGTTATTAGGAAAAACGGGGCTTGGATCTAGGACAAGGGAAAATCGGGCTTCGATTTGGGGTGGATTTTGTAATTTACGGCCACCGTGCGGTGGCTGGCGATGGCAATCGACCGGAACACGGCTGTCGGTAGGAAATCGAATCCATCCGGTGAAGAGAGAAGCGAGAGAGAAACGCTTCTCTCGTTTTTAGAGAGACAGAGGGAAAGAAGAGAATGAAGATGCTGGCCCGTAGGGCCAGCCATTTGGGTATTTATATACCCTCCCCCATACGGCGTCGTTTAGGGGGAGGAGTGCTTATGTAATTTCCATTAGGGGAAAACCATACCCGCAACCATCATATTTTTGTAAATTCCCATTTTAGTCACTAAAATTGAATTTTAAACCTTTTAATTCAACCTTCGAATTTTATTTTATTATGTTTTAGTCCTTACCTGTATTATACATATATTTAGGTTAAATGCCTTATTTAGTCCTTCATAATTTTTATAATTTATTTTTTAAACCCGAATTAATTAAATAAGGTTAAATTACATTATTAGCACTAAGTTTTTTTTAATTCGAATTATGAACTTTAATTTTGATATTTTATTTTTTTAGTCACCAATATTTTGTTTCTTTTCACTTTGATCCTGATTGTTTTTATATATTTTGCAATTTAATATTATTGCTTTTAAATATTATTTATTTATAATATTATTTTGTTATTACTTTTATATTATTATTATTTTCATATTAGTCACATAATATATATATATATATATATATATATATATATATATATATTAATAATAATGTATATTATTTTCAATATCAAAGAAAATGGCAGTCTTAATACAACTGGATGTCCTATTCTGGTATTTTAAATAATTAAATATTATAAAAATTATAATTTAATTTAAATTATTATATTTTTAATATTTACTTTTATTTATTAATATCGAAGAAAAGAGCTCTCTTAAGGTACCTAAAAGCCCTTTTCTGGTATTTTTAAATAAATAAATATCTTACTATATTAAAATAATTTTTTTTATCTCAAGAAAATGTTTTAGTAATTTATTTATTTATTAATATCAAAGAAAAGAGCTGTCTTAAAGCACCTAGAAGTCCGTTTCTGATATTTCTAAATAAGTAAATATCTTATTTATGTTTAATATATTTTCTTAAAAATATTTGAAATAATAGAATTATGAATTAAATATATCTTTGAATTTTTAAATTTCTATTATTAGAGATAATTTATAATTAAAAAGTACCAATTTTGGGCGTTGTAGGGGTGCTAATACTTCCCTAAACGTAACTGACCATTTTTATTATTAAAAAGAACAAATTTTTGGTTATAAATATAGATCAGTTCATCTTTTAACTGATATTTTCTTAAAAACTCTTTTAAAAGATAATTTTTAGGTATTCGACCTACCTGACTCAAAGGTCCGATGGCGACTCCCAAATTATTTTAAAAACCATTTATTCACATCAATTTTCCCGCCAAATAAATATTTCGTGCCTGGACGAAAACCGGTTACGACAAGAGTGGCCACAACCTTGAACATTCCAACAAAAGATTTTTATATTCATAAGGAAAACAAGAGTGCAAAGGAGCAGAACAGCTCAGTCGGACATTGGGGCACAAAGGTCCTCAACATGTTTACCATCATTAGTGAATTCCAACGGAACAATTTGTGCATGTATTGATGAATCAGAGTTCGTTGAATGGAAGGAGGCGAGTAGATTAGCCAGAACTAGACGGCTCCTTCAGAGTTACATCTGCATCGCCCATTACCACATCATCATGGGCTCCACGGTCATTGGGGGCATGGATATTCAGACCAACGTTTTTCGAAAGCACTATGGACGAGTGCTTTGTTTTGTCTAGGGTCATTTGCTTGTGGGAAAGTGAGGAGGTGGCAGCATGCTTCCCAGGAGTGTGTAGGTTACGGATAGAAAGAGGCACGGGTTGCGGGAGTGAGCCAGAGAGTGGCATTGTCACCGGCTTCTTTAAGATCACAACAAGTCCTTTAGTTTTAGTCGACCTCAAAGAGCCATTACCTTTTTCTTTCCTATGTTTGTGGCAGTCGAAGGTTTTGCATGGTCATGGGGAGACGCATCACGTGTGAGATCCCTTGGAACAGTTGTGTCGTCGTGTCCATTTACATGATCATCAATAGTGGCAATTAGATTAAACTTAGACCCATTTTTAATAGCAGTCTTGCTAGCAGCAGCGGATTCACTGAGTTTTTTAACCGGTTTGCATTGACGCTTTTTGACGAGCATCCATGGCCCATAGTGTGATTCACCGCCTTGAGGGGGTACTTCTTTGTCCTGGGACTCTTTCTCAGGCATAGTTTTGGCATTCGGACATGAATCAAGAGCGTGACCATAGGTTCCTCAATTGAAGCAAACGACAGGCAAAGATTAGTATTCCATTAGTTATGTGTTGCCATTGATGATTAATTTGGAAATAAGATGTTTATTCAAGTCTACCTTGACTGCCATACGGGCAAAAGGCCTCGCCTACCAGAATCAGTCTGGTAGTCAATTTTAATGACAAGACTAATGTATTCACCAATCTCAGTGATCAAACTTCTTTTATAGAGAGTAACGGGAAGACCATGTAGACGGATCCAGGCAATTACCTTGAGTGAGGTAGAAATGTCGAAAAATCTTCGATCCACGGTTCAATCGTCAAGTAGTGTCCATAAACAAGCCAAGGACCCTCGGACAAAACTTTGAGGAAATCATCACTGCTGTGAAAAGTGACTAGGAAATAATCATTTTTGATATCCATGATTTTGAGAGCTTGTGTCGTTTTCCAGAGATCATAAATTATATTCCGCAGGGCGGTGCGTCTACCAAGGAGTTTCACCACCACAGTGGTTCAGACTTTTGATAGCAATATTATGGATATGGTCTAAAAATTCAATGGAGGGCAATCCATCAATGATGCTTCGCTTAACATCACCATCAAGGATCTTGATATCATTTTCATCCAAGTTATCATCGTTTGCATGGGAAGGATCGACAGCATCGGCCATGAGGCAATCGCGGTAAAAGACAGGGTTAGGTATACTAGTGTCTATGTGCGCCGGGACCACAAGAGGATCAGGTTGACCATCTGGCTGCTTGTCTGATTGGCGGCAAGGTTTTTTGTTTGCACGGTGGTTAGAGTCAGCGCTAGGGTTTTAGGGAAACTGCTCTCAACTTGAGAGCAGTCTATTATCCTATCTCCCCTTACCCCATTACATATGAGAATAAGAGTCAGTAGCATTAGAATGAGCACAAATTTTCAAAGTTAAATATATCTTTTAACTTGAACTAGAAAGAGTTTTCCAAAATTTAATATAAATTTGATTTTCAACTTGAGCCAACATTAAAGTTCTAAATCATTAAAGAATAGCTACTCACAGCGACATGACTCAGATTTACACATAAACTCAGCCACTCATAATTAGGGTGTTTAAATTCGGTTACTTGTGTTTTTGAGTATTCGAAATATCATATATCTGAAACTTTCGAGTCACAAAAACTCGACACATATGTTAAGTATTTATAAAATTCAGGTACTAATATTTTCGGATCATGTTTAATATTTATTTTATTTTTAATTTATATTATTTTTTAAAAATAATCCACATTAAAAAACATAAAACTTAAAAAAATTCATCTATAAAATAAACATAAAATTTATAAATCTAAATTATATAATTTAAAAACAAAATTTTAAAATAAAAATAAACTAAAATTACAGTTAAATTTAAAATAATTTAAGTTCAAAAGAAATAATTTAATATTAAGGTGAAATAATTTAAAAAATAGAGATTTAGAATTTTAGACTAAAATAATTTTAAAATCATAAATGAAAAATTTAATTTAAAATAAAAATAATAGAAAAATAAAAAAGGATCCATGTTGGCGGATCAGTGGGTACCTGATTAGAATAATTTTGTGATCTGGAAATCCATAAAAAATAACAAGTTTGGTATGTGACCTGCAAAATCAGATATTTACCTCTAAAATATCTGATAGTTTTATACCAAATTGATAGATCAAGTAAATTGAGTTGGATACTATTGAACACACCTACTCCTAATATAAATAATATATGCATGTTTAAAAACTATAGTACCTTTGTTAGAAAAACTATATTAGTTTCAAAGTTTGTTTCTATAATTTATATTTTAGTTTTGGTTTCAATGAGTGGCTACAAATACGAGCATATTGCGTGTTTTGTTTTGTGCTTTTTCTGGGAAATTGGTTCTCTGTATGTTAAGCTAATTGGGTTTTCTTTTTCTTTTTAAATGGTAATAGTTCGCACGGTTAGCAGTGAGGTTCTGAAGAAGCATTTGGAAGAAAAGATTTACCCCAAATTAGGGGAAAAGCCATTCTCGGTGGTTTATGTTCATACAGATGTTCAAAGGAGTGAAATTTTCCCTGGAATCTCAGTCCTGAGATCAATCTACGATGCTATTCCGATGAACGTCAAGAACAATCTGGAGGCTGTTTATTTATTGCATCCCGGTTTACATGCCAGGCTTTTCCTCGCCACTTTCGGCCGTCTGTTCTTCGATGGAGGGTGAGGATCTCTCTCTCTATTATTTTAGCATTATTGAATTTCAAATCAGACACGTTAACCATTGATCATAATGTCGATAGTGCTTTTTTCTGTGATTCATCCACTTTTTTTTGTTGAAGAATCATTTTTGGAGGTAAATTTGTAATGAATGATTGGATTTGAATGGCAGGTTGTATTCGAAGCTTAAGTATGTCAGTAGGCTTGAGTTTCTATGGGACCATGTGAGGAGGTTGGAGGTTAAGGTACCGGAGTTTGTGCATGAACACGAAGAGGATCTCGAGTACCATCAGGTGATGGATTACGGATTGGAAAGCGACCACCCTAGAGTTTACATTGAGCCACCGTCGATGGATCCGATTTCTGTGTACTCTATGAGGTGCAAAGCTTAAAGCTTAAGCGAGTGTTGGGAAAGACAAAGAACCGTATATCTTTGTTGATACGCTTATGGCTTTTTTGGGTCTTTGAGTGTTTAGGTGTTTGATATTGTACAGAATGAAAGGTTTGCGTAAATAGAGCGACTTCATTGGCCGAGCGAACGACTGAGTCGCCATATGGATAAAATCAACTCTTGAAACGAATGAGTAAAGATAGGGAAAACCTTTTTTTTAAAAACCAACTTTGCCACTTGGCTCTCTAATGGATAAGACAATTAGATGCCACTTTTTCAGAAAGATATAAACAAATGGCAAATCTTGATGCTAAAGTTGTGTTGTTATATGAGAAAAATGTAGGCAATAGCTGGCCAAAGAATTAAACAAATTATCACATAAAAGCAGCGATTAGTTCCTCATCTTTATAAGTATTTTCAGAAACTGAATCAGAAAAGGGTTGGTAATGGTAACCTTCATCTTTAAGTTGTTTGCTTAAGATCAGCAGCTCTTCACGTACAGCTTTTATCTCGGGATGCATCTGGTCTCCCACAACGAACACATGAACACCGTCTTTTAGTTCGATCCAGCTACATCCTGGTTCCTTACTCACTCCTCTAAGTCTCATCAATCTCCGGACTCTTTCCACATCTTCCAGCCTGCCCAAGGCGATGTAGATACTGGATAACAAGACATATGCGGATGATTCTTGAGATCCCAACTCCATTAGTTTCTCTCCGGCGTATGCCCCCAATTCATAGTTCCGGAAGTTCCGGCAAGCGCTTAATAAAATACGCCATAAACACATGCCGTGGTCTATGGTGGCTGATTCAATGAACTCCTTAGCTTCATCGAGCTTTCCTGCACGGCCGAGGATGTCGACCATGCAGGCATAGTGTTCTACTCTTGGAACAATTCTGAACTTATCAGACATCATGTTGAAATAATCCCAACCTTTTTCCACCAATCCCATGTGACTACAAGCTGAAAGAAGGTTAACGAATGTAACATAATCCGGCTCTGTTCCTTCCAGCAGCATCTCATCGAAAAGTTTGAGAGCTTCATTTCCATGCCCGTTTTGAGCAAGCCCTGATATCATTGCATTCCATGATACTATATCCCTCCATGGCATCTTTCTAAAGACAAGGCTCCCATTTTCTAGACTCCCACACTTCGCATACATGGTTGAAAGAGCACTTCCGATTGGTACTTCGAGGCCGAATCCGTGCTTAATGGTACAAGCATGGATTTGTTTTCCTTGTTCCAAAGCGGCAAGACACGAACAAGCTTTTAGAATACTGGCCAATGTGAGCTCATTGGGAATAATCCCCTCGATCCGCATTCTACCATACAAATTCATTGCATTTTCGTTCTCCCCGTTTTGTACATATCCTCCAATCATGGAAGTCCATAAAAACCATATCTAGATGTTGTAAATAATCAAACCCCTTTCGAGCATCTAACGTACTACCACATTTCGCATACATATCAACCAAAGCTGTTATTATGTATACCTGCGATTCATATCCCAATTTCAACAAGTAACCATGAACCTGCTTTCCTTCTTCAACGGCAGGAACATCACTACAGGCATTAAGAACACCAACAAGAGTATACTTGCTCGGTGTGATCCCCGCAAAATGCATATTTGAGAACAGCTTGAGAGCCTTTAAGGACTCCCCACTTTGTGAATAACCAGTGATTATCGCCGACCACGTAATCGAATTCTTATCACCTGATAATTCAAATGCCTTAAGTGCATCATCCAAACTCCCACATTTAGCATGCATTGTAACAAGAGCGTTCCCAACAGATACAAACACTAATAACCCATTTTTGACCGTGAGGCAGTGTATTTGCCTACCGGTGCTAAGAAGGACAGGATCCGCCAATGCGCTAAGGACACTTGACAATGCATACTCATTCACTTTTTCATCTTTTAAACGCATTAACTTGAAAAGCTCAAAAGCCTCCACAGCAGACCTTTGCATAGCGTACCCAGAAATCATCGTAGCCCAAGAAACCGAATTCCTTTCGGGCATTTCATCAAACACCTTACGAGCCTCAACCAAATCACCCGATTTACAATACATGTTCAGAAGAGAGCTCCCCACAAACACATCACAAAAGTTGTCGGTTTTAATCGAAAGAGCATGAGCTTGCATCCCACTAAAAACATCTGAAAAATTCGATGCGGCGGTGAAAACGCCGGCGAAGGTATGGGAATTAGGCAAGACGTTCTCTGCTCGCATTCGCTGAAAGAGTTCCATGACAAAAGACGATCCCGTGGAGCCTTGTTGAGAGTAGCCATTGATGATGCAGTTCCAGGAGACAACATCTCTGTGTTGTATATTATCGAATACAAGCTTGGCCAGTAACAAGTCGCCGCATTTGGCGTACAAGTTGACGAGGCTGTTCGAAAGGTATACGCAGGAAAATGAACCGGCTTTAACTATTCGAGCGTGAAGCGTAAGGCCTCGGAGCAGGTTTCTCTGTTTGGTGCACTGAATGAGTTCTGAAAAAAAGGAGCTATATCGGGAAGATGTCATCAACTCTGTAAAAGCTTGGGGTTTGGCCTTTGTTGATGAAACATTGTTCACCTGAGAGCATCAAAGCAAGGCTCAAAACTCTTACGAAGGAAGTGAACGCAATGAACCCAAACTAGTTATGGATCCAGCCCATATAACCCTTTTCATGCCCTGAGGCATGAGTTGAGCTTCTATGGAAAAATTGACCCATTACCGCACCTAAGAAAAGGTTTTAGGGCACAATGATTTTTAATTAGGGATCTACGATCTTTACTACAGGCGGGGAACTCGTCAACTCGAAGTGATGAGTTTCATGAGATATATTTTTTATTGCGTGCGTATTATTTTATTTAAAAAAACTTCGTCACCTCGAGGTGAAAAGTTTCGTTAAAATATTATTAATTTTTTCCGGTAATATACTTAAAATTAGAATTGAAAAAAATAATATGTTGGAATTCGTCACCGCGTGATGAAGAGTTCAATTAGATTTGAATATATAGTCGTTTTATAGCCATTGGAACTCGTCCTGTGCGCTTGACGAGTTCCGACGATCATTTTGAGATTATTTTATCTATAAAAATGAGTTGGGTTCCTTGATAGAGTTATATGGGAACCAAATCATGCAGTTGTGGGAAGAATATTTCAGACAATTTCTGGAAGATCATTTTACGTCTGATTACTCTGATATTGATGATTCGAATTCAAGCTTATCTTCAGATGAGGAGTGGGTGAAATAATAAATAAGGTCGATTCTTGAACAACATAAGGAGATGAAAATGGAGGAGGAGGAGGAGAAGAATGAAGACTTAGAAAACCGATACAACAAATGACTTATCGAGAGGAGGAAGAAGAGGAAAAGTTGTTTTATTTTTTTGAAAAAAATGTTTTAAATATATGTATGAATTTGAGTTTAGTTAAATATATGTATGGATTTGAGTTTAGTTAAATATATGATTATTGATACTGATAAATTATCCAAAATATGTACAATAGGTAACATTTGAAGCAATACAAATACGAAGGTTTATCGACTCGGACGATATTTTAGAAGATGTGAACATTTCTTCCTGGTGTGGCCTTCACTTCTGCAGTGGCCAAAAAGCTTTGGTAAACCTTGCCCTCGTTATGGATCATCCATAGCAGTATGAATTCGACTAGATTCAGGACGACCATTTAACTTTTTTCGTAATTGTAGATTGTGCAACCATTCCTCAGAAATAGTTGGTGGCCAATATGCAACGTTTGGGTGATACTTAAATTCACAACTATATATGTTGCACATAGTATGCAAGCTATAACAATTATCAACGTATGAGTATGGGTCTACATTGACATGCATACATGCAGCAACCGCGTGAGCGCATGGGTATCTAAAGGCTTGAAATCGACCACAGTCACACAATCTTCTATTTAAATTACCAGTATAATTAGCAAAATTATGACCCTCTTGTGGTTGAACAAGGACTTGGACAATGTAATCAGAATTGAGTCTGGCAAAATTATGAAGATACATTGATGTTACATGTGTTTGATTTTTGTTCATTGTTTTCTCCAGATCTGGAGCCCAATTTCTGCCTTCGTTGATCATTGCCTCCACTTGGGCACATTTGTCTGCCCATAGTTTACCCAATATGAAGTAAGTCTCTCAAACAATACTTGCCACCGGAAGATGTCTAGTTCCTTTAAACACTGAATTGATACATTCGACAAGATTGGTTGTCATATGACCGTAATGTCAACCTGATTGTTATATGCCTATGACCATCTTTCTCGAGATATTTTCAGCTAAAGTTATAAACCTCTTGTCCATATTTCCTCAGATTTTCCAACCTTGCTCGAAAGTTCGGTTTGAGTAAAGCGTATCCTGAAAAAAGTTAAATTTAAGTATAATAATAAATGAAGAAAATAAATGAAGGAAAAAAAGGAATAAGTTACCCATGTTGATAATCATTTTCTTGATCTTCTTATTCTTAAACGTTGTTATAGTATTTGTAGCAATATGACATATGCAATATGACAGGAAGTATGGGAGGTGACCACATACTTTCCAGTATTTCAATCATGGCCAATAACCCAGGTGAACGGTTAGAGATCATACAAACCCCATATTGAGTGACAACATGGGAGCGCAAGTTTGATAGAAAAAATACTCATTTTTAACAATGGCAAAGGAAATAGGGACAATTTTCTGTCACCATCTTGTGCAATATTGTCATCAAGACGTGTTTGTATACGCCATACAGAAAAATACCATCCACTTGAACCATTTGTTTGCAGTAATGAAAACCTTCAATGGATGATTTGAAAGCCCAGAACAAGCCTATGAAAACTCTCTTCCCTGGGATAACATGTCCATCAAACATGGTCACAAGATAAGTATAAGAGTGAACAATGGTTTCTGGGATGAAGAATTCCATTGCGTGCAATAAATGTGGAAGCTCATTGTATGAATGATCCCAATCACCGTACAATAGTGTCATAGATTTCTTTTTCTCCATCCATAACTTGCAATAAGACGAAATATAACCAAATGTATTATGAATTGATGCCACTAACATTAAAACTGGGATATTTGCATTTTTCTCCATCAAAAGCTTAATGTATGCACATATGTCAATGTACAACTGTATTGGTTGTAGAACCCTATGACTTCCCATAATATTTTTTGTTATAGGTATGAAACACGTATCCTCTACTTACATCCGACATTGTTGTTTATACACTTGATAAGGTATGTCTTCTATTTAGACTCAACAATAGTGAATTTCATATGAGCTTTTAGACAAACTCCTTAATTTCTAATTGGGCAACCAGTGGGCTACACATATCCCTAGCATATCAGAAATCTCAGGATTCTTCATGGCATTGTAACACCCCAACCCGTATTCGACCCGGATATGAATCTGAGGTGCCACATTGACTTTTTAAATCGTTTACTTTTAAAAGATAGTTGAAAATTTAACTTTTATTTATATAAAAATGGTGGAACCCTTAATCAAAAGTAAATAAGGGAAGTTCAAACTCAATTTGAAATTATAAACTCAATAATTTACATAAATACAATAAAGTTTGTTTACAAAACTGATAAGAGCATATACGATTTAAACCTTTAATTACATGCCAACCACATTCAGTATAACAAAATATCTAATATTTAATTCATTTCTGATCTGATCTTCTGAAAGGAGATGTTATCCTGACTTGCCTAGCTTTTCTCTTCTTGTTTCTTTGAACCTACATGTGAAATACTCACACGCTAAGTCATTGACTTAGTGAGGCAATAAAGTGTGAAATAAAACAAATAAAACATTTAAACATATAATCTTATACTTAACCTTTGCAAAGCATCATATAATGCAGAAATCATAATACATTTCACAAAGCAAACATATAACATCATGCACTGTCATTTTTGTTATTCTTTCAATAGCCCAAAATACATTACTGAGAACTGAAGGTATGTGAGTGCATTGAGGTTGTGCACTAATGTTGTCACCACAGCTCGTATAAAATACATTGAAGTGCCGCGTAGAAATTGCACCAAAGTGACACATAGAAATATCTCGAATGACCACATAGATATGTCCCGAATGACCACGTAGAATTATCCCAAAGGACCGTGTAGAACCCTCGACTCTTGGCATGCCAATTATACCTTTAGCTCTCATATCATATACTTTTGGGCTTTACCATTTATATAGTTCACATATTCATATAATCATGTAGTTCAATATCACATAGACATATAATAACATAGATCCTTGTCACATAGCTTATATCACATGTTCATATAATCACATAGGTCAATGTCACATAGCTTATATCATATGTTCATATAATCACATAGGTCAATATCATATAGCATGTAATATAAACAATGTATGTTCACAAAATAACAGAGACAAAACTATACTTATATTCATGTAATCACATAATCAAAACATTAAAAATAGACTCATCACAAGTCTTCTTTCCATAAGACAATATATATAATAATATGCACTCACCTTAGCCTCACTTAGTCAAAGCACAACTCTTATCTCTCTTTTGATCAATCTTATATCATCGATTCATCCTGAACTTGCTTTCGTTCGATATCTACATAAATATACGATTGCTATGAATATCGGAATTCGAATCACTATTAATCAATCATCAATAACTTAAGCTAAAATAAACACTTATTCACAATTTCATTCTGAATAGTATCGGTACCCCAGGCCCAGTATCGATACTTCCTCACTATGGTATCAATATTATACTTCAGTATCGATACACATTCTACATTCTAGAATTTCTTCTCTAAAAATGTTACCGATACTTGCCATTGATATCGATACCCTTGGTATCGATGCTACTCCTTCGGTATCGATATTGTTCTAATTCATATAATTTCATCATATTAGTATCGATACTATTCTTCCAGTATCGATACCCAAACTCAGATTTCACATATTTTTGCTTTAGAGTATCGGTACTGTTCATCCAGTACCGATACCCCTTGCTCAGAACTTACTTATTTCAACCCAAAAATTTACCATAACTTAATTAAATCTTACACTTTAACCTCCTTTTAAGATTTTAAATTTAACTACACTTATTAAAACCAACTTATATCACTAAAACACACTTAAACATTCAAAATCCCATCAATTACTTAAAACTAAAAATCATCTCAATTTTTCAACATTGTTCTTACTCCTTTCCAGCACCTTAAACTTCTAATTTTAGCTTATGACAAGTCAAATATAACTTGCAATTTCAATTACTAATCATTTCTGACCCATTCACTCAAAAACCCTCTTTACAAAATCATCTTTATTTCACTCATTTCTTAACTTTAATCAATCTTAAGCTTTCCTCAAGCTTAAATAATACCTAAAGACCAAAAATCAACTTAAAACTCAAGAAGTAACAAACTTAAAGTTTTCTTACCTTAGCCAAGCACTCACGTAGAGAGGAGAAAGAAATGATGAATAAAAGATTATACAATTATCTGTAACTCTTCATTTCTTTCTACGTGTATATAATACCCACCTAAGAAATTTTAAATTCATTATTTGCCAAAATAC